TCGTTGTTGTTGAAGTGATTGTTGAAGAACGACCGGTGTCGCTAACAACTGATTTTGTTTCTGTTTTCGAAGAGATGGATTTTTCAATTACGCCATTGACAGCATCAGGTGAAGTTGGTGTTTTTGAAGGTACTGTCAGTGAAGGAATTGGTGTTGATTCTATCGAATGATCAACACTTACCAAAAAGTTACAGCTAAGACCACTTTTCTCAATGTCTTTGTATGCTTTATCATAARTACTCCAATCAGGKTTARCATCYCTCGTTACTACCCAAAGGATATAAGGACTTCCTGAAATTTATTTTTATAATTGTATTTCATTTTGAAGTAGTTGAATTACGTTTATTAAAATTATTACCRCCAAAGAAGTTGTCATACTGGTTGATAACAGCTAACACCATATACTCTTTCCAACMGTCATCAGCCCCGATTACAGCGATTGTGTATTCTCTCTCACCTGATATAAATATATGAATGTGCGATATCAGAAGTGTTATAATTAGTTGTATTATATGAACTTACAGATACCCTGGCCGATCTTATGCCTGATTAATTCATTGTCATTAAATGGATTTTTTTCGATAATTGGTTTTGTATCTGAAAATATATTTTACTGAATCAATTACTGTGTAATTGGATTATTGTTCGTGGTACAGTAACAAATTACTTTGTTTAAATCTATAAAAAAATTGCTCAAAGCATTATGATAAATATGTAATAACTTTAATATACTTACAATATTTTTGACTACCGACGTTAAAGATTGCATATGGACTGGAATTTCCGTATGCTGGACTCAATAATGCTTTTTGGATTTCTGTAGTCTGGGTACTGATGATAAAAAACTTATTATTATAAATAACTAAGTATAACTATGTACGTAAAAAATGTTGAATACATTTAATCTTTTTTAAATCACAAATAAAATAAAAATAAAAATGTATAGTAGGGATCTTATACAGTGAAACCTCTAAATACCGGACACTCTCGGTCGCTTAAATGTCGTCCGCTATTTGGAGGTGTCCGCTATTGATAGGTGTCCGTTAAAGGAGGTTTCACTGTAATACTTTTATCACTATTCAACAAATTGTAAATTATAAAAAAAAATTCCAACTTAGTGGCGTTGCCTGGATTATGAAATCGGTTGTGTGTGAGGGGAGGGGGTAAATATAAATTAAACTAAATTTAATACTATTTTTGTGTTCAAATAAATTAAACATTACATTTATAAGAAGAATAATGCTAACATGTGAAAGGGAGTTAAACATCCAAAAAATCACCATGTCCACAAAACTGGTCTAACTTGTAATACAATTTGATATTTTTCATTATTAATTTCGTTCAATTCATTAGATAATTTAACATATTGGCAGTACCTATAGTGTGTGTTATTCTCTGATGATTTTATTTGTTAAATTGACAACATTCTGGTTTTAATCTTTTTATTTTAWTTTTTTTAAATTTTCTATGTAGTTAATACTCACTAGAGATTGTATGATATATCAGTCATTTCGAATTCAATGTTGTAATCTTTATCGTCACATGGTGTTGTATCCTTGAATTCCAATTGATTGTCGGTACAAGGAAAACTGTTACCTGTTATATAAGGATTGATATTAAAATTTCAATATTTTTAATAAATGTTCAATATTAATAATTTACATACAGAAGAGCCCGGTTTTTAATGGGTTTTGTCCTTCCATGTATGTTGGTGTTGCAAGTTGTAGATACCATTTTCCTTGGAATGCTATTGTTGCCTGGACGCAAAATATATTTTGTATATTAACAATATTATAATACGTTTTATGAATTTTACTAATGATTTTTGTTTCTTCGAAACCTTTTTTATAAATATTCAATTACATCTATGTATTCATTTTTTTACTAAACATTTAAACATTATGTTGACATATTTTTTTATCATTAAGTTTTCATAATTGTATCATTTATTAATGATGCCATGAAGAAAATGGCTGAAGTATTATTATTAGTTATTGAATACTATTTTGGAATTTAATATATAATTGTATGTTTTCTCTACATGTATTATTATTATTTCATCATAGAAAAAAGTTATATACATTTTTTTCATACTTACGTATTGCGAATCAAATTTTTTAATATTCCATTTTGGGGGGCAAAATTTAGGCAAACTGTGAGCACAACTCTTTTTTTTTAATGGACATGCCACAGCAGCACCAATAATGACGCAAAGAATCAGTACAGCCCTCATCCTAATAATGTAAACATAATATTAGTAATAAAAAAGTGTATATTGTTTTTTTTTTCTGTACCATTATTATACGAGTTTGTTTATCTGTCCTAATATTTTAAAACAGTACACAATAAACTCAATTAAGTAAAGGTTTCATTATTATTCATAGTATAATGAATTCTGTAATGTTATAATGATTATTATTTTTAGAATTGATACTTTAATTAAACCATTTTATTGTTGATATTTTGTTTCAATCCATACAGTTTTACAAATAAATAGTTCTTATTTGTATTTATTTGTTCTTATTAGTAATTTTATTTAAATTTATCACTATTGATTGGTAAATCATAGTGCAGATTTTATTGAAATATTAATCACTTTCAGCATTATTAATTTTTAAAATTTTTTATCATTTAAATAATTTTAATAATAATGATAACGACATTATTAAAAGCTCAATTGGTTTTGATACTTCATACAAATATTATCTTGATTACTCGTGTTATAAGTTATAATTTAATACAAATTGGTTCTTTTAAGTTTCCAAGCCTATCATAATATTAACAATATATAAAAAAAATAGTGTTTTAAATTTAAATAATTTATTTTAACCTAACAATGATCGATATAAACAATTATTAAAATTAAAGTAAAAGTAAATTTTTTTTTATATTTATAATTGAGTATTCAAACAATTAGGACTGTGGTTTATTATGTTTTGAGAAACAGTCGAATAATACATTAATTGTATCTAAATAAGTAGATAACATCAATTATTATGCATAACAAACTACAACAACTATCTCAGATAACTGATATATATTATTACTTTGATAAAAAAAAAAAAAACTATTTAAGTACTAAACAATTATTTTGGTTTTTTCTAATGCAGTGTTCTTTTGTATATAAATATTTTACATATAATAAATAAAATAATATTCATATTTTGTTTAGGTATAAATATGTATTCCTATATAATAATTGTAATAAAGTTTAATTGTATATTAACAAAAGCTTACCTGTTAGTTGCCTTTGACCGGTTYCCAACAAGACGAACTGAAAATTGATTCTAGATTTGTTAGTACCCCTTATTTATACTCAAAAACTGTAGTAAATATTTATTTTATATGAACTAAAAAATCAATCAATGTCAACGTCAGTGTTTACAAAATTAACAATATGATCTGAATTTTTTTTATTTGATTTAACGAATGTTCAATAATGCAAAATGTATGAAAAATGCCTACTATTTGTTCGAAACATTGTAAACACAAAAATACATATTATTTTATTTTGAATAATAATTGTATTCTTATTTATTTTAATTCTTCCACAATTTCAAATTTATTATTATAGATTATGTGTTGTGGAGCAATGAATGCATTGATTTTATAATGATGCGTGTATTTGTTGCGTCTGTCATTATCACCTTTTGGACAGTAAAAATGCTTCGATTTTCTTCAACAGTATCTTTTCTGATAGGCATGTGAATCTAATTGTCATTTCGTGGGTTTTAAGAGTAAAATATTATAAACATTTTTCAAAAGTGATTGGAAAAATAAACAAAAAATTAAGGAATAACGTAAATTTTATGCAAAATCAATTTTGGTTTTTGTTGTAACATTAAAAAAAATAGTGTGCAAGTGATTATATCGCACTGCTGTATAGTAGAGATGGCGAGTAGGACAGAAGATGGTTTGTCAGTCTAGAATATATTGTATTAAATATATATTTAATTAAATTATGATATGTATATTTTTTTTTTTATACAAATAATTAAATTTTAAGTTTCGGACGACTTGCATATTCCCATACGGCAAAGTTAATACATTTTTTCCGTAAGTGTTGCATGTAGTTATCATAATATCTTATATCATACATT